TTCCTTTCCTTTCCTTTCCTTTCCTTTCCTTTCCTTTCCTTTCCTTTCCTTTCCTTTCCTTTCCCTTCCCTTCCCTTCCCTTCCCTTCCCTCCCCTCTTTTTCCTTCCCCTTCCCTTCCCTTCCCTTTCCCTTCCTTCCCCTCCTTTTCCTTCCTCTTCCCTTCCCTTTTCCTTTTCAGATAACAGATAATCAGAGTTGGAAGGAACCTTGTAGGTCATCTAGTCCAACCCCTGCTCAAGCGGGAGAACCTACACCATTTCTGACAAATGGCAGTCCAATCTCTTCTTGAAGGTCTCAAGTGATGGTGCTCCCACAACTTCCAAGGGCAAGCTGTTCCATTGGTTGATTGTTCTCACTGTCAGAAATTTTATCCTTGTTTCCAGGTTGAATCTCTCCTTGTTCAGTTTCCATCCATTATTCCTTTATTCCATTATTCCTTTTCAGTTTCCTCTTCCTCTTCCTTTTCCCTTTCCCATTCTCATTCCCTTTTCTTTTCCTTCCCTTCCCTTTCCTTCTCTTCTCTTCTCTTCTCTTCTCTTCTCTTCTCTTCTCTTCTCTTCTCTTCTCTTCTCTTCCCTTCCCTTCCCTTCCCTTTCCTTCCTTTCTCTTCTCTTCTCTTCTCTTCTCTTCCTTCCCCTCTCCTCTCCTCTCCTCCCTTCCCCTCCCCTCCCCTCTCCTCTTCTCTTTTTTTCACTGTCCATTAGTCCCAACAGAAAAATATTGGCTTGAAATATTCTTTACGTTTGAAAATTTTGTGAATTAATGTATGAATTTGCATCCATAAAATTTTAATTTATTTCCTTATCCATCAAAAGTGATAAGTCCCTCTCTGCGGTTTTTATTTCCAGCAAGGATTTGAAATATCTTCATACAATTTCTAAGATGAGAAAGATTCACCTTTTTATAAGAATTCTCATCTTCACAATGACACTTGCAGCCTCCTGAGGTGTTAATTTTTTAAAAGATCTTTTCAGTGAACTATTAAGAAGAAATGTCTTACAAAATTATAATGACTCAAAAAACGAGACAGTATCTGATCACACTTGTTTTATTCCCTCCCTCACCCCTATTGGATACATGGGCAATAGTTTCATGTGACAACATTGCCACCACAAGTGTCAAAATTGATTATTAGGATACATCTTCCTAATTCTCCAAGGAGATTCTTTTGGTCCAGATGTTTCCTCAATATGTTATGGCAGTTTAATAGCCAGAAATATCAACCTAAACTTTCATTTCTTGCCTTGTGCCATGCTACTGTTTTATTGATCTTGTTCTGTCACTAAGTTGTGGCCAACTCTCTGTGAGCCCATGGACCACAGCACACCAGCCCCCCTGTTCTCCACTGTCCCCCAAAGTGTGCCCAAAACCTTGTTTTCTGCTTCAATGACACTATTTAATAATCTCATCCTCTGCTATCCCCTTCTCCTTTTTCCTTCAAACTTTCCCAGCATCAGTTTTTTTTTTCAATGAATCCATTCTTCTCATTTGGTGCCCAAAGTATTTGAGCTTCAGATTCAGGATCTGTCCTTCCAAAGAGCAGTCAAATTGGATTTCCTTTGGTTGATATGATCTTTTTCACAATCCACAGGGCTCTCATTAGTTTTCTACAGCACCACAGTTCAAAAGCATGAATTCTTTGGCACTCACCTTTCCTTATGGCCCAACTCTCACAGCCATACATCACTACTGGGCTAATGCCATGATACTTGATTCTCACCAAATCAAGAGCCATGGTTGCAATGTGGTTAGAATGCAATATTTCAGGCTAATTCTGCCAACTGTCAACAGTTTGATTCTTACTGGCTTAAGGTTGGCTTAGTCTTCCATCCTTCCGAGGTTGGTAAAATGAGGACCCAGATTGTTGGGGATAATATGCTGACTCTGTAAAATACCTAGAGAGGGCTGTAAATCATTATGAAGTGGTATATAAATTTAAGTTGATATTGCTATTTCTATAGTAATAGATCATTTTCAATTCCTTCCTTCCTTCCTTCCTTCCTTCCTTCCTTCCTTCCTTCCTTCCTTCCTTCCTTCCTTCCTTCCTTCCTTCCTTCCTTCCTTCCTTCCTCTTTTTTCTTTTTCATTGAAGCCAAACTACCTGGTAAATAAGGAGTGTAAAACTGGAATTTTCAAGCCATTTTAGTCATTTTTTTTTATTTTCTTCCAACAATTGTTCTTGCTGGCCTAATTGGACAGCAAGAACAAAAACATTTCAAATTCACAGTAGATGGTGGCCCAGGCTCATTGATTAATCCAGGATTTGGGGCTGAATAAAGTTGCAAATCAAATAAAAGAAAGTTCTTCTTTGTCTTTAGATTCATTTCCTCTCACTGTGTATGTGGTGCAGTAATAGATTGCCGTGTCTTCAGGTTTGCAGGTACAGCTGTTTTTTGGCATTATCCCTGGAGGTGGCGAAGCATCCCTTCACTCTGGCAGAGTATTTAATACTATCAGAATTGTAGCTTATCTCTGCCACACATTGCATTCCTTTCCCAGGAGACTGTGTTACCCACCCCATAAAACATCCTGAAGTTCTCACTAGACAGTAATCGATCCTCATTGACTAGTGGGAAAGAAGAATATATGGGAGACTTTCCAGGTTTA